TTTGATGACATTCACCCGTTTGCTTCAGTCTAAAAGTCTAATTTGGGTTCTACACGAGAGGTTAAGAGTAGTACACAGTAAGTTGTTGACTGCAGGTGCGCTCAGACAGTTCAAATCCAGCGCAGATAGCACGCTCTCAATACTTAGTAAAAAAATTACATTGTTGTAGTGTAATATCATTGCTGCCTGCGATTTGGGTCTGAGCGATCAAAGTGACGAAGACAGCAGTATACGCTCTAGCAATAAAAAAATTCTGATCACGACTTCCCAAAGTTCTGTTCGTTGATTATCAGCGGACATCTTTGGTTGGTGTGCAACTCGTGTTTTGCGCATGATAGTCTAACCATTCACAGAAGAATACTACGGGCATTCCCGTTCTCACCCTATAGTCACTTAGAACGAGCGATGCTGCTAGTAATATTGCGTGATTGAAACCATGTCTAGTGATATCTGTCAAAGAATCAACCTGAATAGGCTTCAGCTTGCTATTGTCTCCTATGTACCTCACTAGATTCACTTTTTGTTAGTATAGTCAGTATTCCTTCTTTTATATATTCCGATCTATCACAATCGATCACGATATAGACACAAATGTTATTGTAATTGACTATCATAACTATATATCGAGCATATGGTTCACAAGTTCGACTGTACATTTTTTAGCGATGCAGTCGTCCCAATTCAAGATGAAATGTTTCGACAATTCGTCGTCATCGGATTATACAGTTGTATGTCATAAACCCATTCTAACCACCTGTGTATATAAACGCATATTAAGTGTCGTTATACAACACTCCGAATGCTGATAATATATTTTAAATCTACATTTTTACGAATCATCTAAATCTTCATATTTCAGCATCAACCACGGGTAATTCTTTTAGGCTTACAATTGTAAATATTGAGAATGTAACTAGTAGAACGTATGTGATTTACCGCCTCAATGACAGTGGATGTTGAGCTGATCGATCGACATAATCTTTTCCATTGTAATATATTGTACCACTTTAATGGTTACACCAAGACTCAAACTTTAGCCCTTTAAACGACGAGCAACCAAGAGCAAGAGCACCCACATTAGGTATGTGCTTCAGCCTTGCTTTAACGTATTCTTTCTTCCCTCGCATCGCTGAGTCGATAGCAACCGCTCCGCACGAGCTGCTGCAAACATAATTTCGAACTACCCACACTAATCTATATTCTGGAACATGCATGGCCTACTTGTACTCCGAACAGGCCTTCGCATGTTCGAGGTCCATACATGTATATATCACTTTGACCGGGCACTCCCTACCTACTGCCGACGGTCAGCGGGGCGGCAGAGAGAGTCCTTATCAATTACCACGTCACGTACATATTCACTTCGGTACACAATCTACGATCATCTAACTAATTATTTAACAACACTACACACATGCACACGCACAGTCACAGACATTCTTGCACACTTATATTTACACACTATTCACTTACTAATAAACCACCGAAATGATATCTACATATATACCACGTAACAAACTATGCTAAGCCGGACTCCGGTTGTCCTGCACTTCGAATGAGGGCACCAAGCCCCACTCTTGCCCCAGTCACTGTCACTATTGTTTGCGACTCTATGCCCGAGCTACGACTGTCTTGCCGCTAATACACGCAGAGATATATCCCTCTCTCGCGTTCCCACAGCCGTACGATGCGTGTTCATACGCAGTACTTGTATGGGAGCTGATGCTCAAGTATCACATGCACACCACCATGCCGCGAAACTACAGCCCATACTTCTCCTGCAACCGATGCCGCAGCACATCCGGGAATTGCATGAAGAACGAGTCCCAGTTAGCTCCGATACGTTGCTTGAAAGCCATGAGGATCTGGTGAAGGGTGGGAGTGAGAGGATATAGTTAGCAACCCATATGGTACAAGATAAGTCTGTCTTCGGATTCACAGGTGTTAAAGTTACATAATACACATGAAAGATTGGTTGATGGTATAGAAGGTACACATTCGTAGGACCATTGACAAAAAGTAATACACAGTGCTGATCAGAGCAAGCAACACGCCGTCTTAAAGGTCTCGCACACACTCACGAAAAAGCGCCAGGGAGGCATGCGCACCATTTGAGACATATTGTTCTAACAACTGTGAACAATACGCTCACGAACATGAAACAAACGAGGCTTATGCACCGCTGTCAACATCTCTTTCAGGTCAAAAAACGGCACACACACACACAACCAACAACGTAGACAAATACGCACTGCACAATACATCCCACCAAAATAGATGCAGATAACGCCAACACACCCACCCATGAAAACCCCAAAGTGCTTGCATACCGTTTTGAACATATCATCCAAATCAGGTTCGACATTCTGCCACGAGGCCACCGCGTCACAGAACCACAGGAATGTGCGGTCTACGCCCTCAGGATTCAACATGATCATGTGGCACACCCCCCTGAAAGCCGAGTCCTTCTCGCCGTTGTCGTGAATGTTGCGCATGGACTGGCACCACGGCAGCATGAACAGCTCCAGGTGAGGAGCAACCTCCTGTATATATATGTAAATACAAGTATATATATATGTAAATACAAGTATATATATATATATATGTATATATATGTATATACAATAAATACAATAAACATTAAATATATATGTGTGTGTTCGTGTGTTGGTAATATCAGAGACACGAATAACTACCATACAATCCGGGGGAAGCCCAACCTCCTGCAGAAGTGGTTATATGTAGATTTATGCGTGTAACACACATGACGGTGGTGCTTCGCATATACATGTGTGCGCTGGTCTGTAACATGGACAGCTACGTGGGGCAGTCTCGTTTACAAGCGCGTGTATGCGTGCTAGTAGCATGGTATGGGTATGGGGACGTGTGTATCGCATACACAGTGCCAGGTGTGCACGTACGCGAATGGGTGTAGCATGTTCAGTGCCGGGTGCGTATGCTCTTCGAGTGTGAGTAGTATGCGCAAGAGGTACGTGAACAGCCTACGCCTATGTCTGTGTACGCCAGAAGACTGCCGGATGATTAAACATGAAAGGAAGTACCACATCTAATATTCAGATTTCTAAAGATATTCAATTACTAAACCAGAAACATATGCAGACTTAATAAAAAACACACCAACTTAAACCCGTATAATTCAGATCTTGAACTCTCATTTTTTTCCAAATGATACAGTCAACACCGCAACACGCGTAACCATGACAACTTACACGAGGGCAAACCAGCCCAAGGCGGCCGAGGGTGATAGCACAGTTTTCAATCAGGGTCTTAGGCGTATGTTCGCGGTTGATAATTTTAACTAAATGTGTCAGGATGACGGGAACACTGGGTTGTATCTCCGGCCCAAATTTCATGGCCACTTCACCTGTTGCATGGTTGGATGTGAGAAGGATGACGCGCAATGGGCTGAATGAAGAGACAAGATTATAGAATAGACATGGCAATAGGAAGTGGACATGTGTATGCACAGGAACAGAATGGCATAAAACCTTGCTTCACGGCTACGATGCGAAGTATCAGAGATGATACAAACTGAATGGAGAGTACCGGACGTCTACTGGACTCGATTGCGGCAATGAAGATAAATGCACGCGTGCCTAGAGAGAACCATACGCGTCACAAACACATGCGCCACAGCAAGACACAATGGTATGTAGACTGGCATTATACACGGAATCGTGGACTTGTCTGGCATACCATAAGCAGACCCTTTTGATCAACGGGCTCTCCTATATATATATATATAGTGAGAGAGCTCGATAGATATAGGTATAGATACATATAGATATAGCGAAAATTTGAGAATGATAAACTACAGCAAGAGTCAAACACGTTCTCCGAAAAACAAACAAACACTCACTTTCTGCATCCACTGATAAAGTGTACATGTTCCATACACCAACAGGCATCATTGTAGACGGATTTATGGCTTGCTGACCATAAAGCTGCATATCTAATGTCTATGAGCACACACATGCATATACATGCATATTATCTCAATGAGTAGCATATATTCATGCATGGATTATATCTAAGATACCTCCTGCGCCACACGATCAATAGCAACAACGTGCACGACGGGGGTCTGCGCGTACATACCAAACGCCCAGCAGGCATTGTTGCAGACAGAGATGTAGTTGGTGTCTAAGTTCTGGCTCACACACGGTAGTATCACCTGGATGTGAGGCTTCACATGGGGCCAGCACGCCTTCGTCAGATCACCCAACAGCGCAAAGGCGGACTGCCGCACCTCGGGTACGGGATCCTAATGTGTTCAAAGAGATGCCGTGTGTGAGCACTGGCATATATATATATATAGATATATATAGATAGATATAGATATAGATACATATATATAGATATACATATATATACATAGATACACACACACATATATATATATAAATAAATACACACACACAATATTTATATATGAGCGTAGAGCATGGTGCGATGTATTTGTGTGTAGAGGATGCGTGTGTGAGGATGAATCATATACGATATATAAGAGTGAAGTAGTTGTGCATTTGTATAATCGTGCCTGTAGTGCAACGCACAAGCAAAGCGAACAGAACTGATTCATAGCACAAGTAAGGTCAAGAGTCACAAAGACAAACATACGAACATACACATAGTAGGTCATGGTAGTTGAACGCCCAACAAATTCAGGTTAGAATCAGAAATAATCACATATCTGAGATCGGGAGTACCTTCATACACTCCAAGTGTAACAGACAGTGACAGGTGAGATAGCACATACCTTCATACATGCTATTAAGTGTAACAGACAGTGACAGATGAGATCACATACCTTCATACACTCCATGATGAGTAACATCAGGTGGCTGTTGGCCACCAGACTTTCTAAATCGGAACCTAAGCCCTCTGCCATCCCACTCAGCAGATCCAATGCCACAATCATGAAGTCCTTATCTGGTGGCTGTGTAGACAATGCATCAAAGATAAGCAATACATATAATACATGTACATATGCATATACATACATATAATACATGTACATATGCATATAAAACATGTACGTATGCATATACATACTTATGATACATGTACATATAAAACATGTACACATACATATAATACATATACATATGCATATACATACTTATAATACATGTACTTATGCATAAACATACATACATACATATGCAGATCCAATGACACATTCCATAAGGTGTTTATCTCTTACAATGAATTTAAGATAATATATATATATATATATATAGATGCAATACCACAATCGTAAAATACTTATCTGGTGGCTGTATTTTCAAAGAATTAGAGATGAACTATAGATACATAGATATGCAAAGGTATGTACACAAATCTAACGAGGCAATCAAGAAGTTCTTATCACAACAGCTTTGTGCATACATGTAACAACACTTGATACAGCATCCTGCGAGAGCGTTAATCACTTTCGCTGAATGATATACAGCAGTCGGTTGCGCTATAGTAGTCACCCAACTCCAGCAGATTATACACACACCCACAGCAACTGTGTACAAGCATAGTGTACCAAGCGTGTATACACAGGCATAGACATACCACGATGTTTGCATTAGGGTCTTGCGAGAGTGTTTGGTAGGCGTGCAGGGTTGAGTGCAGCAGCCGATTGCACCGTTCGAACACTCCCTCGGCGTAGGGTAAGAATCCGATGCCCAGTGCAGATGCCAGGCTAGATAAACACTATATATATATATATATATATTAGATGGGAACAGACAGTGCAAGCAAATGATGAGAAGAAATAGGTAAAAGGAATGGGACAGACAGTGTCAATAATGATGAGAAAAAGTAGGTAAAGGAAATGTGAACAGATAGTGTCAATATTGATGAGAAAATAGCGATAGAAAAGATTAAGAATACATACGATCAGACAAGCAGCTACAGTGCAGAATCAACAAACAAACATACAACTAGATATAGTATCTACATGGCCAATTGACAAACAAACATACAACTAGATAGAGTATCTACATGGCCAATAGACAAACAAACATACAACTAGATAGAGTATCTACATGGCCAATTGACAAGCAAACATACATTTGGGTGAGCGATGACGAGTGTAACTCATAACGCACAGTATCACCAAACGCACTGACAACGAAAAGAAGAAACCCATATACGATACGATGGGGAATCACTTGACAGAGACACACTCTATGTACACCAAAAAGCGACAAGCAGATGATAGACAAGTGAAGCATGGGCCGATAACAGCGTATAACGTATGGTCGATGATTGAGTAGATCTCCCTTGGCAACTGTGCATGTTAGAATGCAACCGACTCCTCTGTACTTGCACGTAGTTTACTTTCCTTAGTACCTACACATAGCCTGCGTAGCCTATTGCCTTCAACAGCTTAACTGCGTCCTACAACTCAAATTCTATGGCCACACACACGCACATACAACACACCCACCCACACACCTCGAGTAAAGGAAACAGGTCGCGGCTATCGTCAGGCAATTGATTCCATTTGACAATGAAGGGCGGCATGATCACCTCAATGTATTGCGGTTGGTTTAAGCAGCTGGTTACACAATCGGCGAGCGTGCCAATCGCATCGTATAGAATTAACAGGTTTTTGTGCTGTCGACCAATCGAAATGGGGAAAAATAAATAGAAACGTTGGCAGGAGTGCCGGAAATCAATTGAAGACCCAGTCAGCCAGTCAGATCTAGTTAAAAAACAGACTAGATCTGTCAGAATGCAGTCTAGATCAAATCGACAGACTGATGATGGTTATTCATGAACGAAACATGAATCGGCGTCGCAATGAATTAATCGGCGGTGTCCAGAAGATGCACCAGATAAGAATTTAATGGAATTGCCACAGATAGCATGTGAGCGACCAAGCACGTCGTATAGAACTAACACGTCACACACGGGATGTGCCGAGGGTCACTTTAATGGTAGCAATGCGCTTGAGAGAGGGTGTGGCGAGGCACAGGTACATGTCACATATCCGAACAATCATCGCACCCGAGGGAGCCACACGCACACCACAAACTAGAGACTCTCTTGGAGACACAGGCACGGCAGTCATTAATAAGAAATGATCACAGCCCGGCATCAGATCAGCAAGAAACACTGGGTTTATTAAACCCTAAATCCCTAAATCGCGTGCACACCTCACACTGTCGTCTGCATAAGCATAAACGTATTTCCATCAGCTGACACTTGCAGATGTGCACTCGTCCCTGGCAAGTGTGTTAGAAGCACACTCAACAGCATGTATACCTGCCTGGATACCGATCAAGTGCACACACTTGTACGTAACTAAACACACTCGGTAAGATCAAGTGTACACACGCACACTCACCTGATATTTGTCAAACGCGGCTACCAGGTACTTGAGAATGTCGTCTAAATACGGCACTAAGCGTGTGCCCGCCTCCTCTTCCAGTGTGGCAAAGGCACTGCATGCAGCCTCTTGCACTCGTTTGTTGTTGTCTAAGACGCACTATGCGTGTAAATCAGTGGGTGGGAAGGGAAAATTAGTTTCGAATTAATTCACGGATCAGCAAGGGTGATAAAGCTTCTTGCACTCGCTTGTTGTTGTCTACGACGCATTAAGCCTGTAAATTAGTGAGTGCGAAGAGGAAACTAGTTTCGAATTAATTCACAGACCAGAAACAGTGATGAAATTTCTAGCTCTCGCTCCTTGTTGACTACGACGCACACATGATAAGTGCAGTGACGAGGGTACGAATAGATTTGATTTAACGACAGACAGCCAATGATCAGCATGAGCAACCAATCCATCCCTGGGCCGATAACACCTTGCCAAATACCTTCGTTTGTACTACTTGTATTGATATAAGACTGAGAGTACGTAAAAGCGCACAGACGCGCGAGTTTACTATAATTACCCACACGCAAATCAGCGTAGACTCCGCTCAACTAGGACCACTGCAGTACTGTGTTGTTGCCACGTGGCATTCCACTGAGCGATCGAATACAGTCTCAAACAACTTAACTGTTGTCAAGTTACTACGACTGCTAAGACTGTTGTTAAGTTACTATGACTGCTAAGACTGTTGTTAAGTTACTATGACTGCTAAGACTGTTGGTAAGTTATTGTGACTGCTAAGACTGTTGTTAAGTTACTATGACTGATAAGACTGTTGGTAAGTTACTATAACTGTTAAGATTGTTGGTAGGTTACTATGACTGCTAAGACTGTTGGTAAGTTACTATGACTGCTAAGACTATTGGTAAGCTACTATGAAGACTGTTGTTAAGTTACTATGACAGCTAAGACTGTTGGTAAGCTAATGTGACTGCTAAGACTGTTGGTAAGCTACTGTGACTGCTAAGGCTGTTGGTAAGTTACTATGACTTTTAAGGCTGTTGGTAAGTTACTGTGACTGCTTAGACTGTTGTTAAGTTACGATGACTGCTAAGGCTGTTGGTAAGTTACTGTGACTGCCTAGACTGTTGTTAAGTTACAATGACTGCTAAGACTGTTGTTAAGTTACTATGACTGCCAATACTGTTAAGTTAGGATCGTACACAAAATCAAGATAAAACACGGCCTACAGTGTTCGTTTGCACCACTTCCTTCGAGCAATTCCTCAATAAGACTCCTTTCAAAATAAAGATATGGGATTGTAATTTACCTACCGTTGTCTGTTTTGTACCACCACTTACTTCGAGTATCTTCTCAACAAAGTGTCTTTTATATTATAAGTAAAGATGTGGTATAGCAATACACACGACGTTCATTGCTTAGTACTATCACTTACCTCGAGCATCTTCTCAACAAAGTGTCTTTTATATTATAAGTAAGATGTGGTATAGTAATAAAAACGACGTTCGTTGCTTAGTACCATCACTTACCTCGAGCATCTTCTCAATAAGGTTCCTTAAGTACGGATACTGTCCTTCCTGCTCGGGCGGAGTAGTGACTATCCATTGCGAATACCGCGACAGCGTCCAGCACGTGATAGACCGCACAATTGACTGCAAAGCAAAACGTACAACAAACGGATTGGGTGAGCAACCAAAGACGAAGGTACGGAGAAAACGGGTAAGGTACCCCACATCGTCTGCTACCTGATAGTATTTATCTATATACATAGGTTAAGGTATGTATGCTGAAGGTGTCACGAGATGGAGCGGAAACAGGCCAGGTGAGAGGCGGTGTATGGACACACACATATATATTGTCTTGTTCCACAAGCACGGTTATCACAGACACACAAACACACACATTGACGGGACTGAAACTCGAGCAAGCCATTCATGAAGATATGAGAAGCACGAGAATAGATAGACGTATACATGCATATACTACACCTCACAGACACACACACACACTGCCGCAATATATATATATATATATATATACAAACCTTAGCATCACCCAGGCAGTGGTCAATCAGGAAGACTACTAGTCCTGGTAAGAACTCCAGCATGCCATTCATGCACCCTTCCGATATAGCACCCAGTGCCAGGATTCCACACTCACGCTCCACCCAGTTTTCACTCTGCAAGTCTTTCTCGATCAGCGGCAGCAGAATGGGCAGCAAGTGGTCTTGAAACACCACCGCCAGATAGTCTAAGGCTGCGGCCGAGCACTTGCGCAGGTTCCATTCTAACGATCTGAGTGGAGAGGGGTGGGGAATAATAAGGGTAGGCAACGGCGGAGAGGGGTGGGGAAAAACAAGGGTAGGCAACGGCTGTGCACAAACTATATATGGCATGGCGGATGGTCTGTGGTATGTTGAAGTTAAGACTGGTAACTCGCGCAGGTGGGATGCGAGGTGCATAGCAGCATGTGGGTGGGGAATGAAAAGGAATCGCTCTACACGTTTAATAATGGGTACATATTCAACCATCACACAGAACATCTACCCCTCTCGTCTACTTCACACTCAGTCTCAACGTTGTAGAGGTTTAATAATAGGTATATATTCAACCCATCACACATAACAACCATCCCTCTCGTCTACTTAACACGCAGTCTCAACGGTCTTAGTGCCCAGCTTGTGTATCTCATGGACACTTGTAGCTCGCTGTACACACCCATAGGCCAGTCTAAACACACACACACACACACACAATGCCATGTACATACGTATCTTGACAGCACATGATTCTCGACTGCCCATTCTCCGCATGTCTATAGCTATACCGTCCAGGGTTCGCTTCAATGGCTTTGAGACGGGTGTTATATCGCGAATACGCACACTATAACCACAACCCCTATACACAGCAAAAACCACCCGTTTATGCTTAACCAAACCACTTGACAATCGGATTCACCTCTCCACAATCCCAATGCACGAGCATATGCGCCTTCCCACGCCCCCACCGTACTTACCCATCGTTCTCATCCCCATACTCGTCGTTTTCATCGTCTGAATCGGCCACTTCCACCGCCTTGCGCGCGCTGATTTTGGCGTGTTGTGGCGCGATGTCTTCCTCTCGATCTGGGATCATGTGATTGTCCTCATCCGCACACAGCAGGATCTGGTCCGACTCTGAGTATCGCATACCTATCGCATGCAGACGAATAAGATGGGTCAGTCAGTAACAGTACCCATGCCTGCCATGAAGAAGCTGTGTGGTGTTGGGAAGGAGGCGCACGGATAGTTCGGTACCGAATGGGTACGCAGAAGCATGTAACGGAAGTCGGAATGTGGTACTGTCACTGCACTCTATCTAGACAGAACAAGCTACACATACACACCTCCATGCGATTGACTTTCTGTAAATACTCGTAGGAGTTGGAAAGTACTCGCGGACGCGTCAGACACTTATGCACCACACTTTCGTATTGGCAATGCCATTCCAATCTAAGGTTCAATAGACAGGTGCTTGTGCATTGATTTGGGGTGTACCTTTGAGAAGTGTAGGGATGAGTTGGTCGAGGTATTTCGGCAGGTATTCCCACGCTGTCTGCGGATCCGCAAACGCCAGCCAAAACTCGCACGCCTCCAGCGCCACTTTCTGTAGGTTAACGGGAAAGGTGTGTAATATAAGGCGCAGTTATAGCGTATACCTTTACTACCTGTAGTATATATATAAACCCAAAGCTTGTGTTTAAACTCTAAACCCTGCTGCTAAATTTACGCCCAAGGGTCGACAAAACCACCTCAAACGCGCCAGTTTCGCTAACACATTAGGCAATGATGCCACGTACACACTAGTCACACATACCAGCCACCTAATCGGTGACAGAGAGCACATACTGATCCGAACACCACTTGTATTGAAAACATTTCAAGTCACTTTGATAAAAAAATCAAACAACAGCTGCCAGCAGTACAATGCGCGCACCCCTTGCCTGGGTCATATAAAGGCACACCTACGGATAATTAAGCTGCATATAGTAATGCATACTTTTGCTTTTAATGGCGACCACACTTTGTGCGCGTCATGCAAATGGGCGATTGTACATATATCTACACATGGATATATACACTTGGCTTGTGGGGATCCTTGTGTGCGCGAGTATGCTTGGTATCTCTTTCTATCTCAGCATGTGTATGCATGTCCCCCCTTGCTACGTACGTTCGTATATACCTGTCAATACCAAATGCTCGATATTCCCAATAAACCCCTGTACGTACCTGGTCCGGGTGTTGCGTGCACATGAGCATGTACGGTATAATATTGTCCATCTGGGGCACAAGGATATCAATTTTCGCCTCCAACAGCTTCACCATTCCTTGACACACGCGCAGTCGGACCTCAGTGATCTGTAAGTGAGCGAATGTAAATAGAAATAGAAATATAAACATATATATATATATATACATACATACATACACACACACATATATATACATATGCATATATATAAATATGTATGTATATATATATATATATATATTCATTGTGCGATTTTTCCGAAATGCATGCATACGCAATCCGCGCAGATATTTTTTTCTCCCTAACACGTGCCAGCGATCATTCGGGAGAGATTACAGCAGTCAAGAAGTGAAAATCATGAACAACCGCCAACTCATATCCCCTACCTTACACAATGAATGCCAATACTTGTAAGCGTAGAACACCACACACGTTCACACATACATACACACGATAGTAAAACTATATACCAAAATAAATAAACATACACGGCATTGGAGAGTTGTACAACCCAAATGCCAATACATGCTACCATGGCAGCCCACACACTACCCCCTCACTGCACACCCACATACATCGTTATTGGCGAGCTGGAACAGTGTCTCCGCAAAGGCCTGGGCGAACTGCATCATGCCGGTGGTCTCCTTCATGATGAAGTGATTAAGCGTGCCCAGTGCAAGCACCACCACCCGCGGCCTGTCACACGCACACAGCTGGATCAGCTTCGGAATGACTGTGTTGAGTGGCTGCGATGGCATCTGTGTGATCTGGTGTGCGCTATCCTCGCACACTTTGTTGAGCGCTCCCACGGCCCCTTCCACCACCAACTCGTCGCCAGAGTCGACCAGCTGACACAGGTTGTGCAGGAAGCTCTCCATGACCGTCTTGTCGTACAGGCAGAGTGTGGTGACGAGTATGCCCACTGTGGCTCGGATTAGAGGACTCCTATCGCCAATACATATCTGGCAGTTCATCTTTATGTATTCACGTATGTTGGGGGGGAAGGTCTCATAGCGGATGCGTATGTTGTTCTTCAGGATGATTCCGGCTAAGGAGCGCAGCGCATCTCTGCGTTGGGTCTACAAGTATAACGGGTGATGTTTTAGGGGAGGTATACACGCGTACGAGTTCGCTGGGACACAATGAAAGAAGTAGATATTGGCCTAATCACAAAAGCACACGCACACAGATACACGTATATATATATATATATATATATATATATCTATATGCACCTATACATATACATATACAAATATATATATATACATATATATATGCACATATACATATACACATACAAATAAAATACATATTCGTTTACACACAAATATGCACATGCACATGCACATGTACGTACACATACACACAGATATAGATATACAAAAATAATTGAAATATAAGACAAAACCAAGCTTGCGATAAGAGTATTCTTCACGACTTGTAGAACGAGAATGCAACAAGCAAAAGATCTTTTAGTCCAGCAATACTACTCCGACAAATGGTCGCATACATTAATAAAAAAATAATAAAAACCAAACCCCCAAAACCCAATTTCTGAATATGAGCTGTTAAGTGGTCGTTGTATGAAAAGCCAATCGAGACAATCAATAGATAGTACATGATAGTATAGAGAAACATTTCGGCACTTCGGGAATTCATTGGTAGGCATTGTCGGGTATGCAATTAGTGGCTTCAGACATACGTTTGATGCAATATATGGCACCGGACATACACTAGCAAGGTAGCAAGGACATGCACAATACAAACTACAAAAGGGACACTGTATTTACTATAATCAAGCCATACGCTACAGTAGACATATAGGCTATGCACAGTCACGTTCAGCGTTTAATCAAAGTTCTTCAACGATTTTCGCAAAGCAATTAAAAGACCACACACCGCAGTGAGACCATCAGATACTGGCAGTATGTATAAATGGGAGCATGCTTTTTTTATTGCTGAAGATACCAATGTTCCATTAAACGATAGAAACACGCACTGTTACGCATGTTACGCGGGGTTCATACCGTAGCGGGGTCCTCCCCGTCGACTGGCTTCATTTGCGTCAGGATGTGGAGCAGATACATGTTGAAATCAGGCGACTGCGATTGGTGGGATAGGAAGAAGGGTTGAGGGAAAGGTGGGAATGCATGGGAATGGCTGAGACAACAAGTCCAGTGGGCAGTCATTTTTATTGGGAAACCAACATTCATAGTACACCCGCCAGCCCAAAACTTGACCAAAGGGCCACGGTTGCAATCTAGGTGGCCGAATAGTGTATATGCTTCCTTCATCTTTCGTGGATAGATAAATGCGAGTTGTAAACATACAATGCTATCTATAAGCCACGAAACACAAAAGTATAAATCAAGGATATGCATGTCATCTAATAAACAATAATATATTTATAAAAATAAGTTACTGACACACACAAGAAATATACATAAACCTACATACAAGATATGCATAAACCAACACGAAAGATATGTATATAAACCAACACACAAACAAATACATACACACACATATATATATTAAATAGAAATATATATATACATACTTACAGAAAAACATACATCTATATAAAAAGATACGAATACAAAGACAAAAAGACACGAATAGATATATATATATTTACAAAATAAATACAAAACATACATACAAATATACATAAAAAACCGGATATATGTATATACCGAAGCGAAATTGAATCCACAAACATGCACATAATTACAGATATTATATATATACAACATTCATGTATTCATAATCATACACACACACACACACACATATATATATATATATATATATATTATACATACTGACATACTAACATACATAGATACATAGATATATAAACACACACACTATTTATTAGTATAAATATACATACATACATGCATATGATCTGATAACTTATATAAGCTTATCGTAGGTTCACAAATATTATTGTTTGTTGATATACGAACAAGCAACTCTGCATCTGTCACATAAATTCACGTATCTATGATACACAACATACATATTCATATACATATATATATATACATATATATATGTGTGTTCATAAATCGATTGCTACACAAGTAAGTACATACATACATACCTAAATACGTAGGTACGACATACATACACACGTAGGTACGTACATACATACATACATACATACAGATATTTGAATATCAAAAGATACATAAATACAAATACTCATAAATACATAAATACATACATATACGTTCACAAATTTATATATATATATATATATATATAGTAATAATAATATATATTATATATAATATAATAATACGCACCTATAGAACTACCAACCTATGTACTACGAGGT